TCATGTATTGGTAATTGATACGATACAGTGAGTTGGTGTAGTCGATGATGTGACTTCCACGTAAGATCTTATAGATTAGGCAGTTATATCATGACAAATCTACAAATTTAGGATTAGGTCTATTATTAGAGCAGTACTAATATCATAGTAGACCATAATTCTACAGTCTTCTTGTACTGACCGGTATTTGGAGATCTTTGGAGAACATGGGTTTACAGTATTCTAAAGGTGCGATGTTGTTGATGATACTTTTGATGTTGTGATAAAATATATTGGTTAATGTGTCGGTATTGTTTGAGGTAAAGAAAGTTCTCCAATCAGTGCTTCTTAGGTAATTGTGGAAGTTATTCCAATCAACCTTGCGATAGTTTCTACGAAGTGTTACGGTTTTACTTCTATCGGTTGTGGTTTTTACATTAAGGCTGCATATGACCATGTTATGATCACTACCTGGGAACTTTTTTCCAATATACAAAGTATTGGGGATGAGGCCACTGGTAAAGATTAGGTCTAAAATGTTTTGATGTCTGGTAGGGCTATCGACATACTGAGTCCATTGTCCAAGCTCTAGACATTCAATAAATGATTCATAACGTTTCGGCGCTTTGACTGGCAGCCAAGAAATTTCAGGCGTATTGAAGTCGCCACAAATGAGCTTGCCTGTGAATGAGAGAGATGATGCTAGTGTGAATACCTCCGATAATACTGCTATTTCATCTATTGATGCGTTAGGTTGACGATAAACACAGCCGAGCAGTAAGGTAACGGAATTCGACGGCTTTAATACAATCCACACCGGATCCTTCAGTTTATTTAGTTCAGGCATATCACATAGCAGTGAGTTTAGGCTATAGTGAGCGTAAATAAGGCATTCTTCGCCTCGTCCATTCAATCTATCGCTTCTATATAGAAAATAGTTATGAAGAGATATACTTCGGTCGGAAATATTACTGTTAGTCCATGTTTCAGATATCATTATAAGTGATGGTTGATAAATGGATACATACAGTGCTAGATCCGCCTTTTTGTTGCAGATCGATCGAGCGTTGATAAGACATATATTAAGCAAGTGGCCTATTAAGTTAAAATGGGTGAGGATATCTCGGATAAAGTCATCATAACCCTCGCGGGTGTGAGATGAGTTTGATGTGAGGGATTGGATGTTCTTTATTAGCTCGGTATTTTGATAGCTAGACTTAGTGGGAGATGTATCAAATGAGCTAGGGAAGTTGGTTGGGGAGTTTAGCCAAGAGGAAAGGGTGGGAGTACTCTCTGATGGGAACTGTACGGAGGAAATAAATTTATGGTTTGCATGTGGTTTGAAATAACCTGGGCTATATGCTTCAACAGAGGTGTCACTAGGGGTCTTATTCCAAAAAAATATTGTACAGGCCTACTGTGAAGTGTATGGTTATTTACAAAATAGTCTTGATGGTTAGACTCGTAGCCCCTGTTATGGGTATTTAAGTTAGCGTGAGAGGGGTCTGCTACGCGTAACTGGGAGGAGTTGCGACTGTTGTTATACATGGGAGCCGTTGTTATGTGATGGGTCGGTACTAAAGGGTGTGAGTTTTCTTTCTGAGAGTAATTACAGTTGTGATCCTGGGGAATGTAGGTAGGGTGTGGAGTGAGAAGCCTATTATTACCATTCTTATTTATGGTTTTAGGCTTCAGGGGGTGATTTGGGTGGCCAGTTCTCTGGTAGTTTTCGTTAGTCTGCGCGAAGACGGCTTGTTACGCTGGAGCCCACCACCCATTTTGAAACTTAGGGGTGTTGAAGGCAAGTTATACGATAGCAGCGGGGAGAACCTGTTCACTGTTCTTGGGATACCTATAGAGCAGTTGGGTTCAATCTTACGTGTTTCCCTATTCGGTATCATGAGTTTTGTCTTCACACCGTTTATTGTCAGAGCTGGAGTCTTTCGTTGTCTCTGTGATATGAACTTACGTTCATTCAAGTCTACTTGTGGGGTATCTTTAGGAGGAAAAATTTACAAGTGTATAGGTATAGTTGGATGTGTGTTGTCACACGACTCACGTTTTAGTACATCACTGAGCGAACAGCTGGGATTAGTCATGTCGTTATGGTTTTTGGTGTCAGTTGGGATCCGTATCTTATCCAAAGGTTTCTGATCTGCAGACTCATCTAGATCAACAGAGTGATCAGCCGTATATGGTGTAGGATCCAAACTACGGTTTGGATGTTGAAGAATAGCCGACAGGGGATTTTAGACACGCGCCCTTTCCCGTCGAAATCAGAACAAGTAATCGGGTAACTAGCGGTTCTATAATTCATAATAAATTTAATGTAAATCATTACCTAAACAAATATTATCACCTGGCTATTCAACCAATGATTGTTCAATCAATTAAATCTAAATTACAATAAATAAAGAAGTTGATAGAAGATGCAAGAAAATTACCAATCACCACAAATAAATGTTATTCCATCCTGTCTGGATAGATCACGTACAGATTCGTTCAAAAGGTAATAATTGGTCGCTCTATAACACATAGTGTTTTCAATTCTGGAAGAGTGCTTCAATTCACAACCAAGATGCACAATTCCAGTCAACACAGGTCAAGCAATCAAAAGCAGGGATAAACCAAAATGGCTGCCGCCCAGACTTAGTATAAAGTAAAACAACATAAGTGCAGTTCGGGAAGAAACATGGGGAATTGGTGAAGGTGTAGTAAAAACGAAACTATAATAACATACAAATATTAACAATTCAAATGTAGTCAAAAAGTTAACAATGTACAACTAAAAGAATCAATAGGAACAAGGTGTAAGTATATACATGGAGGGATTTTCACCAACACATAAAACCTTCAAAATGGATCTTACATATGGAATGAAGTCATGCTTATTGTTCGTGTGCTTTAAACTATTTGCTGTGTTGCAAACTGTCTCTGGCTGATTATTAACTGTGACACTTCCATTCAATTTTATCGCTTCACGTCTTCTCTATCCAGTTGATATGTGGTGCGTTGGAGTCCCCAATGATGAGACAACATTCTGCCATACTCCAAGAACAGATGTGTCTTAAGATAGAGTCGTCAGCAAGACAACACGGACTACGGTATATTCCCCCTATAGTCACTAACCCATTTCTAGATTTAATCTTACAACATGTGCCACTGACATGAGCCTCCGATATGGTTGATTGTATACGAAATTGATCCCTAACGTATAACACCATGCCTCCCCCTTACGGCCTAAAACTCTATCACTTCTAATACAGATATAACCTGCAATGAGAGGAGAACAGTCTATATCTACGGTGAGTCAAGTTTCTGTAACAACAATTATATCGGGACATAATTCTTCCACCATCAGACTTAGCTCGGACGTTTTATTTCTAAGGCTATGAGCGTTCGTGTAGTACACACTTAAGGTGTTTTGGCAGTCAATCGTTCTACCCATACAGGCCTCGGAAGCATTGGCTTCCAAGACCTGACTACCAGAAAACCCTTAATGGTAAGGTTGTTTTCGCCGTTTAATTTGCGAGTCCTCAACTCCGTAAGAGCATTCTTCCACTTGATTCGATCCTCAAGCGGCCAATCTGGTTGAGTAAGGATATTTGAGTCACGAGTTTTGGGTACGTTTTTCAGTAATATGTCTCTTTCTTCGAAACTCCCGAGAACCAGCTTCAGGATTCTTCTTGGTTGGGTCTCGCCTCCAACCCATTTACCAAGTCGTATTACTTTTTTAATATGTACCCCTAAAACCTCTTCAGGTAGTACGTCTCTTACCACAGATTCCTCTAACTGCAGGTCATGTGCATGTCTTCTAGCACGGTCGTTATCTTTCGACTCCTCTAGATTCCAAATAATTAAACTAGGAAGAAATTTAGCTTCCTTTGAAATTGTGTTGACAGCTTTCGACCGTGACGATAGATCCTGTATATTAACTACTGGTATCTTACGACTAGTTTTTATTGTAACAGTCCTGGGAGTCGAGCGAGTGACCCAAAAAAGTGTTAGACGAAGCTTTACTATGGGACTTTGGCGGAGTGGTCTGAGAGTCCACCAAGGACTTATCAAGTAAACGGTCATTAGTTTTAGCTGTCTTTCCCACTCTTCTGCGTTTCCGTGTCATCCATATTTCATCAGTCGCAGCATCCACATTAGAACCACTCGGAACAGTAATTGTTTTATCTGGGTCACCGGTTGCTGCTGTAACAACACGGCCACCAATATCTAATGAGGTGTCACTCATTGATTGTTTCGGGGTAGACGGTTTAATAGCGGTTTGCACAGTTAGATGTCTAGCTTGCCCCGTGGCAGCACTTACGACACTAACACAATCTTCGCCATCAGTACCAATGTTGCCAGTACAGCCCTCATCAGCCTTCTTATTAGCCAACACCAGGAGGCTAATTGCTTCCTGGATGAGTAATGTTTTGCTCGAGCAACAAAAAGCCAATGACAGTTGGGCTTTGAGCACCTTCTATATGCAGTGGGACTTAATCGAGTGCACATCTTATGGAACCACTTGTTACACTCATCACATTGCATCCCTTCCTCCACAGGGAATGAGCAATATGGTTGTCCACATTTGTGAGCAGATCTAGACATCTTGAAAATCAACTAGAACGGTGACAAAAACAGGATATGTAAAAGGATTTCCAAACCTTAACTAAATAAATCAAACGAAAGTCGACCAAGTATGCTTTGATGCAATAAATACACAAAAGCAAAATCGAAAAACTCAATAAAATATCACTTTAACTGGGGTAGATGCAATTAATGTGTAAACAGTAGTTTTGATGCGTAATTTACGATCAAAACAGTTAATTAACTCAACGAGAAACAATACCACTGTCCTTTTAAATAGAGCGTGCATCATCACGATGGCACCGTCTTCGTTACTTGAAGAATGAACGCTATCAGACATGGTGTGGCTGAACTTAATTCAAATCTAAAAATGTCTTGATTTGACCGCTTCTGAAAATTTTCACGGATTGTCGGTGTGACGCACCAATCATCTTGCGAAAGTTTGACCTTCAAGTGCTCGCAACCTCCCGCAGTGAACGATACCCCTGAAGCGTTCACTTTTTGTCGTGCATTTTACCGTCCAGTTGGCAGTTCAGAAATATTCAAGATATTCAGTGAGTTTAGTTCCTAGTTCATAACCCAAAAGTATGGTATACACAGACATATATGTTCTTCGCAATAAACAGTTGTTTCTTGGATTTACTCGACCCGTTTTTCAACTTGTAAATTCAGTGTGGATTCTTATTTTATGTACATCATCTTGCGTGTCGAGTAGTATCGGCCGAAAAAAATCGATCAATTCTTAAGCTACCGTGGTCTGTAAGTATTGGGATCCAGTTAGCTATTCTTTGTTTACATTTGTATTTTCTATTGTCACTTTAAAGGTTGTAGTATAATTACACAGAACACTGATCGAGTCTCCATTCCGAAGTTAATTCCCAATGAAGAAATCATCTCTAGGCTTCTCTTCATCAAAGTACAAGCGGTCGGGTTATCTCATTTGGACCAGCCTTCTTATGAGTGTGCCTGATAAAACAGCTGGTGAAATGCTTGCTTCTCGTATATAAGTTGAATGCTGGCTGAATTAAAAAAGCCTTAATTTACAGGTTTCTGAATGTTTCACATAGTTTTCTGAGTCCACAAACCACGGAAATCCGCTATTCTAGAATATACGTTGTTTTTCAAGTCTTGACTTTATCCCTAAACCAATCTGTAGGAATGCAGCTCATGACCACTTGGGATGTAAAAATTTGTATCGTGTTTAGCATAGATAAAAATTTTTAAACAGGCACTAGTCAATGTTTTTCGATTTTAGGACAGTTTTACCAACTTATTCTGTTCGTCCTAGCGCCCTCTAGCAACCCGGTCATTTCGTGTCTTTTGATTGATACCACCAAGTTCTTTTAAGGGTGATGAGGACAAAATCAATGTCATTTACATACACTAGAAGGAAAAACAAACCCGAGACTATGCTGCGGAATCTGGTTTATCACTTCAACCTGGGAGTTTTATGTTTCAACACTTTCTACTTGCGTCAAAATAAAGGCTCGTTTATCTGTAGTAATAAACTGTCACTTACGCCGATATCTCTGGTCAGGCAACCATCTAGTACTTAAAACGTTTTTGCGGACCTTAGTGATACCAGTGGAGCCCTTGTTTGTAATTGGCTTATGATGCCATGACATGTCAACTTTCCTATGCTACTAATAGTCCATTTGGTTATGGATAAAATGTGTTGCTTCTCATAGAGAATTGAGTTTTTCTACAAACATCTGAGTAATTATCCACGAATAGTCTCAAAAATCCCAGTGACCACTTTATTTGCACTTACGGCAAGGTAATTTTCAGGCTTGTGCCGGGTTCTGGTCTTGGAATCAGGACAGTCTTACTAGTCGCCTGGTTGTATGTTTCGGGCTACAAATATGTCTAAACACTACAGTTTAAGGATAAAAATTACAAATGTCTATAATAGCCTGGAAAATCTTTGGTCTGATTGTGTTAATTTACTCCTATCCATGAATGATCAATATGTGGTCAATCAACGGTGATTTTGTCGTACCTCATCCCTTCCTTCACTTGTTGTAACAGGGTGGATATTGTAGTGGTATCGACTGGATTTTTAAGTTTACGTTGGGTGTATTAAAGTCTCTTAAGAATAAATATATACCACTAGAAGACCATTCAAGAGGTTCTTTTAACAACGTATCATTTGCTCCTCAGTTTTGGCTGCAATAAACCTAACTAACGATTATCATTTCTATTTTAAGTGGGAACTGGTTCATTAGCTATCGCCTTGGCAATTGTGAGGGGTATGTCGTCTCTGATGATAAGGATTACTCATCTGTGTTTACGATTTGGAGTTCCCTCCACCCTTAGTGTTCTGACTTTTTCGAAGTTTGGCTCACTGTCGCCTGTCCTTTTAAAGAGCCGTTCAATCTTTGTTTTGGCAAGACATCAGAGAATTGAGATTCTAAGTTTACTCTTGATTTTATTGTAAACGTAGTTGATTTATGATAACTGTTAGATTCATGTAAAATATCATTTGGCTAGCATTTTTCGTCACAGTATAGGTATCATTTATATACCTCTTGTATAAATGGAGTATACGAATGTGTTCGAAGAACGGGATATTTTAGATTGGCCGTGAAACGATTTGCTGTAATTATGCTCAGAGGTGATCCCATATAAACCCCGTCGATCCACCGATTCAGCTCATCATTCAGACTGAATTGCACCTCGAGAGTGTAACATGAGAGTATTTATCCGTCAAGGCTGTCCACTTTCTCCATTTTTGTTTGACTTAACTGTAGACCTACTGACGGAAATAACGTTCTCGTCGACTGAATTCTCGGGTGTTGTTCTCTTTCCAGGAGGTCCACTTATCGACTTAGAATACGCAGATGACATAGTCCTGTTTGGGGAAGACGCTGACAAAATGCAGAGTCTTTTGATAGTACTAAGCAACAATGCCAGAACGTTTGGGATGCACTTCTTTCCCTTTAAATGCAAGTTGTTGCTTCAGGACTGGCCTGCGTCAACACCTAAACTGAGGATAGGGAGTGAAGTAGTCGAACGTGTTGGCAACTTCACTTATCTTCGAAGTCTGATCAGCCCTAATGGGTTGGTGTCTGACGAAATCTCAGCACGGATTCGAAAAGCTCGCTTGGCTTTTACCAACTTACGTCACCTATGGCGAAGGCGAGATATCCGTCTATCAATAAAAGGACGAGTATACTGCGCGGCATTCCGTTCTGTTTTACTTTACGGCTGCGAAACGTAGCCATTACGAGTAGGAGATACTCGTAAGCTACTAGTATTTGACCACGGATGCCTTAGAAATATTGCTCGCATCTGCTGGAATAACCGCGTAAGTAATAGTGAGGTTAAACGCAGGGTATTAGGGAATGATGGTTAATCAGTTGATGAAGTTGTGAGTCTTCATCGACTGAGGTGGTTGAGCCACGTGTTACGTATGCCTGAACACCGATTACCACGACGCGCAATGCTGACTAGTGTTCGGGATGGTTGGAAGAAAGTTAGGGGCGGCCAAACCAAAACGTGGCACCAGTGCTTGAAGCCACTAACTTCTAGGCTGAGCCATGTTGGTAGATGCAGACTACATGGTTGGGGTCCGCGTGACCGTCCTAACCAATGGTTGGAGACTCTTGGTGACATGACTCAGAATTGACCAAAATGGCGTAAGTGTATACACTATCCGTCTTCCCTCAAACTAAAAGATTAAAATCACTTCATATCTTTCTTTCTATCAACTAATTCTTTCTTCCTGTACCACATCCTTATATGCAATCATTCTTTTATATATTCTATGAATCCGGTGTTCATCTTCTAGTGCTAATGATGTATGGCAACTTGGACCGATGCACATATGTGCTTGGTCCTACGTTGTGTCTGAGTGACTTATCTTAAATAGTGTCCAAGATTTTGTCTTTACCATAGTTGAATACAATGCAAATAGTCTATGAGGAGGAAATAGAGACATAATCCAATGAGATTTTTTCTCTTCCTAGAAATACCGACGTCCCCGACTGTACCTACTGCCTTGACGTGGTGGTCCAGCTTGCCTATCGTGATGACCCAACCGAGCTATATTGGCTGGAACGTAGGTTCCATTAGGTCCTAAAATGCTAGGCTGGTCGGTTGGAGAACGGTAAGACTAAAAGCAACAACTCAAGGTCTGAGGACGAAGTCATACTGCTGACTGTAGAGGGGTGTGACATCAGTAAGGTGTTTCCCTCGGGCAACCAGCATCTACAGCGATGCTGCCTTCTCACAAGGAAGAAAGGGGTTAGAAAAGGTCAACCCTAAAAATGTCACACCTCACCTTATTTCACGGACTTCCGTCCCCTTTGAAGAACGGAGCTAACACGTTAAAGACCTCCCACAAAAAGGCCGTGCGCGACCGGCCTCAAACAGTTGTCTCTTGAGCTCTACGGTCACGCTCCCAGGTGGCTAAGACCAACATTAATCGAAATTTTTTTCGGGTTCCTCAAGAAATAGCCTTCCACGGTGTGGGCAGCCGGGGAGTGACACCAGCCCTCATAACCGTAACAGCACACGAGACCAAGTTGATCACATTAAAATCCTTCCTACATCTTGTAATAACTTTCTTATCCCCAAGACTAACCCTCCTCACGTCTCTTTACCACCTCGCACCGCTAGGGTACACGATTCAAGTACTCGGTACGTTATTCCTGGTCTCCTGAAACCACGCTCTAAACTACATGTAGGAGCTTTTAACGTCCAAACACTGTGCCAAACAGGACAGCAGGCTTCCTTATCTAGAACTTTAGAATCTCGCGCCATCGATGTTTGCTGCGCCTCCAAAACGTGCATACAGGATCTGATTAGCTCCATTCATTTGACCTGCTTCTCGTGGACTCGCCGGCGTAGGTATAGCATTGAGTCCTAGGGCAGAACTAGCTCTCTTAGATTGGATCCCAGTGGACAGTCGCTTGTGCGCTGTCCGACTAAACGAAACAGTAAGGGCTCGGAAAGATAGGGACGCTCGTCGTTGTCTCTTCGTCGTCTCTGCCTATTCTCCCACTGACTGCAGCTCAGATGATGTAAAAGATGAGTTTTACAGAAAGCTTTCCAACCTGGTGACTTTAATGCTCAAGTAGGTAAACTAAGCGATAGGGAAAGACACCTGGGTGGATCTTATGGTGTCGTGACTCAAAGAACAGATAATGGCGACCGTCTGTTGCAGCCATGCCCAGATAACCGCCTGTTTCTTGCAAATACTAACTTTTGATTGATTATGTATTACAACCAATGGGAGAATAGATTAAAGATTGCTGTACAGACATGTACTCAATCAGACTCACACAGAAAATTTCATGGTGGATTAAGTGTGTAAATTACAGTAAGCACATAAATAATACAGTAGTTGAATGGGCTTACTACATGTCTATCAATTAAGGGACAAGTATACTGTGCAACAGTTCGTTCTGTTCTACTTTACGCTGCGAAACGTAGCCATTACGAGTAGGAGATACTCGTAAGCTACTAGTATTTGACCACGGATGCCTTAGAAATATTGCTCGCATCTGCTGGGATAACCGCGTAAGTAATAGTGAGGTTAAACGCAGGGTATTAGGGAATGATGGTTAATCAGTTGATGAAGTTGTGAGTCTTCATCGACTGAGGTGGTTGAGCCACGTGTTACGTATGCCTGAACACCGATTACCACGACGCGCAATGCTGACTAGTGTTCGGGATGGTTGGAAGAAAGTTAGGGGCGGCCAAACCAAAACGTGGCACCAGTGCTTGAAGCCACTAACTTCTAGGCTGAGCCATGT